TTTAATTGTTTTTAAATATTTTTGTTCAAGTTGTTTTTAACTTTTTTTTTTAGATTTGTATAATAAAGCAAAATATAATGTTATATGTGCATTCTATATATTTGTGTGAAATTAAATTTCTGAAATGCTACTAACCTCTTTATAGAACAAACATAATATCTCATGCTACTTCCGTGAAGGTTTTTGCACATACCAGGAGCCCTTAATAAAACTCCTGCTGTACACATGTTAATGTGTACTACAACAGTTTATGATGTAATCATCATAGACTATAGCCCTCCACCAACAGAAGGACAACACATCCTATATGTGAGGAAACCCCATGAGCACTAGCATTTACATGGCCAGGTGGTTAGGGAGCTCGACTCGTAATTTGTGGGTCGTGGGTTCGAATCCCCGTCCCACCAAACATGCTCACCCTTTCAGCCATGGAGGCATTATAATGTGATGGTCAATCCCACTATTCATTGGTAAAAGAGTAGCCCAAGAGTTGGCGGTGGGTGGTGATGACTAGCTGCCTTCTCTCTAGTCCTACACTGCTAAATTAGGGATGGCTAGCGCAGATAGCCCTCGTGCAGCTTTGTGCAAAATTCAAAAACAGACAAACAAACACTAGCGTTTCAATAAGTGCTCTATATTTTCCTTGGCACTGCTTTGTTCAGATGGTTTTTTCTTTAAAGAATTAATGGAATTTTTGCATTTATTATTTTCAACTTTTGTTACCATTGATAGTGTAGACTTTCTTCCCTTTATTTTCTTCACCAGAAGAAAGATAAATTTTAAACATTTTAGTTAAAACTTTGATTCTTAAGTTTGATTTTTTTTAATTCTGTGGATACAGGACGGTCAAGGTATGCATGTCATGACATTTTACAGAGTTACCTTCAAAATTTAATCAAATTACATTAATGTATGTCAATAAACTTCACATCAATATGTAGTTAATAATTCAAATACTTATGATCCCGGTCAGCGAAAAACCCACCCCTGAGGCTGCTGTGTGCACTTTTTTAAAAGTATCAAAAACAAACGGGGAAAGTGCACAATAGGTGCAGAATGGTCTAAAAAGGCGAGAGCAACTTTCAGAATTTAAAAATGCTTTCTGGTCATGGAGAAATAGGCGAAAATGATCGGCTACCTCCTAACTCCCCAGAAAATCAAAGGAAAGATTCAGAATGCCGTGATTTTAGCAAATATTAAAGTTATTTTAGTTCGAGTGATGTTATTAATCAATTTCAATGCATAATTAGTGAGAATAAACATGTTTTTAGTTTTTTTCTAGTACATCTTCAATCTCAATGTCCAAATCTTGTAATGAAACACACTCTTCAGCACACATTTCCATAATAACATCTTGCTCTGTCTCTTCCTTCTCTTTTTTTTACTGGCTTTTGGATCTTTTGCACTACTCCATGTCTACTTTGGGGAATAACGTGGCAATGTTTTGCTGTATATATATAGCTGGAGGATCACAATGTAAATGGCCCAGCATGGCCAAGTGATTGAGGCAATCTGAGGGTTGTGGGTTCAAATCCCCCATCTCACCAAACATGCTCACCCTTTCAGCTATGGGGGTATTATAATGTGACAGTCAATCCCACTATTTGTTGGTAAAAGAGTAGCCCAAGAATTGGTGGTGGGTGGTGATGACTAGCCTTCCCTATAGTCTTTCACTGCTAAAGTAAGGATGGCTAGTGCAGATAGCCCTGCTTACTGTCAGAATATCTCCAGTTGCCATTAACTCTCTCACTCTGGGCTCTGTCCCGGGGATCAACCTCGAACCATTTTGTGCTCGTTATAGTTTTCATACTATAACTTTTAATACAGTAAGCGTATCTTCACAAAACTTTGCAGATTATCAATAAACATTACAAGGCTTTCGTATGCAAAATATCATATTTTTTTTATTAAGTTTTAAGTTTTTTTAAGTAATGTTTTTCTCATACATTTTTTTTATGTAATATTTATTTTAATTTTATTATTATTATTAAGAATGTGAGGCCTGCAAAACTGAGGTTAAACTGGATAGATGGTGTACCCATAACGCAATTTGGGTTTTACTTCTGCCAGTACTTCAAAAATCAGGGTACATTGAATAACTACCCACCTTATGGTGTGTGTTCAGGTGGTACATGTTTGTTTTGTAGCTGCGTTGTTTCTGTTTTCTTTTTTTGCTTTCATTTTCTATGTTATATTACAATTAATTATTTTTCATCTAAGGTTTGGATATGCTGTGTTAAGTTCATGCTATTCTTCCTTATGATAAAACCTTTTTTTAATTTTATATATATATATGTGTGTTGGGGTGGGGGACGGGGACAGCGGCCGGAAATGGGCGGTTCGACTCACACACAGC